CACCTTTGTGTTGTTGGAGATGTGGGACACCGCAAAGTCCTGGTGGATGAATTGTTCCCACTTGCGGATATTTCCCTCCTTGCACGTCCGCTTGGATTGAACCCAGCCGCTACAGCAGTCCAGACGGCTCAGCCCGTAATTGGTGACATCGCCATGCAAGGCTACCCCTGTCGCAATGTGTGTGGCGTCTTTGTACCTGAGCCTTCTCCTGTGACCATGCAAAGCGGAGGTCCATTTGTTGCCCTTGTTGACTGCCGTGCGCTGCTGCAGGGTTGGCAGCTCTGGGTATCAGATGATGGGTTCTTATCCAAGGCGGAACTCACCTACCTCCTGTCCACTTTCTGCCCGGTCGGTTGGTGTTTGCACTTGGAGGGTTTACCGGACGGCGGGGACCGCTGTGTGCTTCGATCCGGTCAGGTTATCTTTGCCTCTTTCGTCCCCGTTCCCCAGGTCCCCATGCCAGTTTCCGAGGCTGCTGACAGTGAGGCCCCGACAGATGATGACATGGCCGCGGTTACGCCCGATGAGTACGAAGACCCAGCCACAGACATATTGCCTCCGGCGCCTGCTCCGTCTGCCCCCTCCGGACGTTCGCGCAGCAGGTCTCCCCACAGGCCTTCCAACAGAGCACAGGCACAGGACGAGGCCGATCTGCAGGATTTGCCGCCAGACCGCCACGTTGCCCATTTCCTTGTCTTTGCGCAGGAGTATACGCCAGAGAGAGTTACGCTCATCCTGGCCGGCCCCATAGACCAGGACGAGGCCCTGCGCAGAGTGCAGCTTAATCGGGCCGGGGCGGCTAGGTTGCGCTTTCCGATTCTTGAAGTCGTGGAACCGCAGACTGTAGGAGCCTATGGGGTTCTCCTTGCTCGCCCACCATGGAGCACAGACATTCATGTTGTCTTCGACACCACCTACCTCGATGGAGCCATGTTTTGTTGGATTGTTTCTGCGGAGATGACCCGAGAATCGCTTCTGGCTGCAGCTGGCATCTTGCCAGATTCCGAGGTTGAAGTTTACGTGCCCAGCTCGGGCCTCCCTTTGGCTCCTCAAGCACGTTGTCGGCTTGTCACAGGCAACTGTGTCTCTATCATCCCTGCGGCCTGCCCTTTCTTTGTGGTTTCATCTTTCTCGGACATGCTCCGTGCAAATGATGGCTGGGATGCCAGACAGATTGACCCCTTCGTGGCAGGGGACTGGCTACATCTGCTGACTGATGATGTCCCTTGTTGCGTCATGTACAGTCAAGAAAGGTGGCGTTTCCTAAGAGAGGACGTAGCCAGCACCTTGCAAGTTCAGCCTGAAGATCTTTTCCTACAACCGTCGCGGCCGCCTATCCAAGACTTTCAAGACGAAGGCAGACGCGCACAAGGTGTTTTGATTGCTACGAGTGCCAGGCCTCCGCCTGGCAGTTGTCTATTCTTCTTGGACCTGCGGCCGATCACCTGTGGACTCTCCTGGGCCACTGCCCACGCAGGGGAGGTCTCTGTTGACACCGTACGTCAAGGTTGTGCACGCAGGCTTCCGAAGGACTGGCACGTTGTTATCGATGGAGGCACCCCGACGAGTGATGGGATTGTTACGGTTTATCCGGGCGAAGTCCTCACAGTCCGTTGCGTTTCAGCCCCTGTTTTGAGTGACGCTGCTTTGGGTGTATCTGGCCTCCCAGATTCGACAGGATCAGGTTCACCGCGCAGTCACGGAGGGTCTTTGGCAGACAGGTTGACGGCTGCAGGGGCCCCCAGCGAGGCAGCCTCTCCTACGGCAGCTGGAGGTGCCGTTCCTTTTGAAACAGCACGTCTGCTTACCACGCCTTCCGCGACCAATTCGACAGCTCGCCTCGATGAGCTTCATGCCATTACCCAGGCTTTGGGTGAACCTTGGCCACTCGACCCAACCGGCCCCCGGGGCCTTCCTCAAGACTTTCTGGAAGACACCGAGGCTGCCAGCAGTGATGAGGCCCCAGCCCCCGCCGAGGTCAGGCTCAATGTCAAGGTCCTTCGGCCTTTCTATGTTCCAGAGGAGCTCAGTGTTCAGCTGACCCTCCCTGCCACGACTAGGGAGCTACTTGCTGCTGTGCATTCCACGCGTGATCGAGCGGTCGCTGATGCTTTCCCCACGTTGTATGAGGCCTACCCCCAACCGCTTGAAGGCTACAGTGTGTTGCTCTCAAGTCCGGCATGGTACGGACATGCAGTTGTCGCCTGTATCGATACCACGCGCCTGGACGGGCGGCTATATGCAGCTACAGTGCCCACCTACGTGAACAAGCGTGTTGCTCTGGAGCTGGCCAGACTACCTGACGACATGGACTGCCAGATTTTTGTAGGTACAGGACTGGACCCCTTGCAAGGGGACCATCTTGAGCATCTCTTTTGGGGTGTTACCTTGTCCTACTACCCTCAGACTGGTTTGACACAACGTGGTGTCACGCTTGCGCAGTCCCTGTTGTCCGAAGCCGGGTGGGGTGGGCCCGGTGAAAACGGATATCCACCACCACGCAGTCAGTACTGCCTTGTATCTGAGGAGAGCGCACAAGTCTGCCCAAATGTTGCCGAGGGCCTCGCAAGAGTGAGGATGCGCCAAGGGGCATTTCCGAGAACGATCGAGGAGACCCTTGTCATTCATGCCGACCCTCCTGTCCATGATGCAGAGCTAGATGGTTACCCCTGTCACACCGTGGTAGCGGCGTTTGCCAGGCAGGAGCCCTCTCTTGCTGACCAGCATTCTGGATTCATTGTTGACTGCAGAGCTCTTCATAAAAACTGGGCATGCCATCCGCAGGCTGGCTCTTTTGTACAAGTCACCTCCCTCCTGAGGAATCTTGACATACACGTCCCCGCCGGATGGACAGTCGCTTGTGACGGCTTTCCTTCGCCCACTGAAGTTAAGGTCCAAGGCGGTTCGGTGCTCAGGCTCACGTTTGTGCCAATTATTCCGCCTGCACTCAGCTTCCTCCAGGGAGACCCTGTATCCCAGGCCCCCGCAGGAGGCTGGGCCTTGCAGTCCAGGGGGGCCTCGCCAGATGGTGCCCGCTTTGTGGCGCCTTTCTTTGTCCTTGCGCCGGACTACCAACCACTGCGCTTCTCTGTAGCCTTGACGGCGCCTGCCACTTTGGCCCAGGCATTGACTGCCCTAGGGGCCCAGCGGAATGGAGGATTCCAGAGCTTCCTCCCACGCACCGTAGAGGTCTTCCCACAGCCGGCCCTTACCTTTGCAGTCGTCCTCGCGGCGCCAAGATGGAGCTGCCCTGTCACCCTGGTGTGTGTGGACGCCTGGCTCGTTGATGGACGTACTTTTGCACTGGCTGTGGCCCCTAATCTTACCAGGGAGGCTCTGCTCACCGCCGCGGGTTATCCTCCCTCTGATAGGTTGTTGATGTACGTGTCCACGGCGCTTTCTCCTGTCGGCCTTGATCAGTGGGTTAGCTTGGCTGAGGGTGACCTTGTCCGTTTGGTCCCCGATCATCCTCCGCACTGGTATGGGCTCTCCCTGCCTGACATGCTGCGCACTTCAGAAGGCTGGGATGCGCAAGCTGATCTTCGAGGAGAGACGGCTCCTGGTTGTGGTATAGTCCACGAACACGGCATGTATGCTGAGGTGACAGAACCCGAGGGTATGCCAGCACCTAGTCTGTCGCGGATGGCGCATCAACATGGCGTCCCCACTGAGGACCTCTGTGCAGTCTGGGCTACGCCGCCCATTGCTGACGTCAGCATCCAAGGCGTTGAGGTCCAGCACGTCGCCGCCATTGTGCCCCTGCAGAGGACAGGAGCTCACTGTTTTGTCGATGCCCGCCCCGTGCTCAGAGGTATTCGACTACTCAATGTGCCGGATTTAGTCCTGCAGGTGGCCTCCCTTACCAGAAATTTTTGGGTGCCGGCAGGTTTTCGCATTGTCATAGCAGGCGGCAACCCTGGCATCTCTCTGCCGCCAGGTTGCAGGGAAGTGACCACTGGCGATGTGCTTCAGGTCCTGGCGGTCAGAGGTGCCTTGGGGGCCAGCGAACTGGCTGCCCACTCTCAGTTTGAGACTGATCCGGCACACGGACCCTTGAGGAGTAACTCCCTAGGTCTAGTCGTCGAGGTCGGTGGTGCGGCGGGCAGCCTAGGTCTCTGCGCCGGTCTTCCCACCAATAGACAGCGCCGAGCTCGAGCCCGCCGTCACCACCCATTGCGCACTTGTGTCGTCTTCCTGTGCTTGTGTAGCCAACCGGAGTCGGGACACTGCGCGGCGGTTAGCCATGGCGACTCAACCCACCCGATGGGGCATCTCTTTTTTGCCCACGTGTTGTTGTTTGCCAGTCTGTGTGCCGTCGTCGCGTGGGTTTGTGCAAGTGCTTGGTCGCGGGCTAGCGCCCGACCGTGCGCCCAGCGCAAGTTCAAGACTGCGCCACTGGGGCATCGATCAAAAATTTTCCTGGCCGTGGTGTGGCGTTTGCTCCCCTTTTGTGAAGGTGTGCAATTTCACGGCCAGGTTGAGCCTCGAAGGACAGACCCCGATGTCTCCGGCATTGCAGATGCGGGTTGTGAACATATGTGCGTGACCGTTCCACTTGAAGACGCTCGTCCTGTCGAGCCGCGGTTCCGCACCCCTATGCCCCCGCATGCGCGCAGCCGGACTATCCCCGGCACAGGGTTCAGACCCGTACCGACACCGTGCCGTGCACTCTGCAGTCACCATCCTGGCGATGGTCAGGCGAATCGGCATTGTGTGACTCTACTGGATGAGGCAGTTGCACAGCCGGGCAATCAAGCCTTTTTCCTTGCAGCCACCCTCTTGGAGACCCTCGTAGAGCACTTCGCGAGGCCTGTTGTGCATCAGGTAGGCGCAGTGGGGGGGGGGCCACGCCAAACCCTTGACCTAAGTGCCGGGTTACCTGTATCCACCTTTCAGGCGGATGTACAGCATCTAGCGGAACTTGTGCCGAGGGCTCCAGACCCCGAGGAGGTCTATGATGGCCTAGATTGGCTAGACTCGGACCGCGGCAGCCTGTTGCGGGATAAGCGTGTCCCACATGAGTTGCGCAAGAGTTTCGCAGATATTCCGACCTGGAATGGTCTTGGCGGCGAACATCTACGGCCCGATAAGCTGGAAATCTATACCGATGGCTCCGCTCCTGGAGGGAATCCGGACGACAGCACCATTGAGCCAGCGGCGTGGGCCTTTTCTGTGTGGGCGATCTGCGCCGGCGCCCCGTACATGATAGGCAGCGCGGCACACACCCTGGTTCCTGCCGGTACTCCGTACCATATTGGTGAGGAACGTGACACGGCTCTGGAAGCCGAACTCGGGGCCTTGGCATGGGCTCTGATCTGGGCTCTGGAGCACGGCGTCAAGTTTAAAACTTGGATTGAATTCTGCTATGACGCCACCTCCGCGGGGGGGGGCGTCTTTGGAGAGGCCAGGTGTCCCGGCCAAGGCCGAGCCGGTGACGGTCTTGGCACTGCCGCTATGCTCCTGCGCCAGACCCTAACTACGCGTGTGCCAGTTTCCCACCGGCATGTCAAGGGACATTCAGGGGTGCTGGCCAATGAGTTATGCGATCAACTGGCGAAGCGCGCCAGACGCCATCCTGAGAGCTTGTACGACAGACTCCTGCCAACTTGGCCCGCAAGGTGGGCGTGCCATCCCCTGAAGCAGTGGACTTGGTTAGTGCATGCGCAGAGTTCGAGCGTCCCGACGCTGACGGCCCTTGAAGCCGAAGCCCACAGGCTACAGGCGCAGGTCCCGGTTGTTCAGGCCCCGACTGCGGGCCTGCAGATCAACAGGTTCAGTGCAGCAGAGGTGGAGTTTTCCTGCACCTTCGTCTCTTTCAACACTTTGACGCTTTTCGATCCAGCCGTACCTGCGGGAAGGCGTCCTCGGACCGAGCAACAAGGCTTGCTCATTTCCGGCAAGAGAGACCTGTTGAAGAGCCAATTCACCAAAGCCAAGGTTTGGGCTGCAGGTCTCCAAGAAACGCGTCTGCCCTCGAGCGAGGTTCTCCCGGACAGAGATTTTCTGATGCTCAGTGCAGGGGCCAGTGAACAAGGGCACCATGGCTGCTCTCTTTGGTTCAACCTTGCCCTTCCCTATGCGCATGAAGGTGCTAAGGTGCACAAACTCCGGCGCGAACATGTCGTAGTCACGGGGGCCTCTCCCAGGCATCTTCAGGTCCAGGTGTGTGCACCGCGCCTTCGGTTGACCATATTGGTTGCGCATGGGCCCTCCAGCGCAAAGGATCACGGAGCTGAGGCTGAAACGTTCTGGAAAGAACGGGCCGCTGACCTACGTGATAGGACAGAAGGCTCCGAAATCGTCATTTTGGCTGATGCTAATGCCCATATAGGCTCCCTTCCAACTGAGGCCATCGGAGGGCATGATCCAGAAGAGGAAAATCCAGCCGGGGCAGCTTTCCACTCTTGCTTGCTTGACGTGGACTGTATGCTCCCCTCCACGTTTCCGCATTTCCACAGTGGCCCTAGCATTACGTGGCACACGCCGGCTACTTTCGCCACGGGCCATCGCCTGGACTATGTTGCGGTCCCGCGCAGCTGGGCGAATTTTGCCATGCGCTCATGGGTATGGGAGTCTTTTGAGTCCCTCCAGACCAGGCAAGACCACCAGCCAGTCTGCCTGCAGGTTCTTTTCGGCAAAGCCTTGCCGACTGAGGCCTATTGTAAATCGACAAGACGAGCGCCACGTCCTAGTCTGGACGTCCGTGGTCACTTTGTTCAGCAACGGGAGGCCTTCCTAGCGGCGCTGGGGGCTCAGGGCCTCCATTGTCCTTGGCACGTTGCTGTGGACGAACACTGTGAGCGCGTCAGCCAGCCTATCGTTTGTGCAGCCGCTTCCATTTGTGAACAACAGCCCGTCCGGCCGAGACAGCCTTATCTGCAGCCAGATACCCTGCGGCTCGTGCAGAGGCGTGCAGCGGTCAGGGACTACTTAGCCATGGAGGAAACCGAGCTGCGCAGGCGAAGGCTGTTGCTGGGCTGGGCAGGCTTCCAGCTGCACGTGCAGGCAGGGGTCTTCAGTGACAGAGCTAAGGCTGCAGCCTCTAGGTGGTTCTATGAAATGGACGTCAGTATTGCTAGAGCGCTTGACATGCATCGGTGGCTTACCAGTGCCGTCAGAGCCGCTGTGCGTCGAGATCGCACCGCCTATCTGCAGACGCTTGCGGACAGGGTCGCGGTCGCCGATCTGCGGGATCCTCTCAAGCTGTATGCCGCTGTGCGCAAGGCCTTTCCCAAGGCCAAGGCAGCACGCAGGGCGGGCTTTCAGGCCCTGCCTGCGGTCCGTCTGCAGGATGGCAGCCTGGCCCGGGACCCTGAGGCAAAGGCCGCCAGATGGATCGAGCATTTCGGGGCTCAGGAAGCAGGCCAGGTTGTTGCTGTTGAGGATTACCCCGGTGCATGTCGTGTCTCCCCTTTTCGGGCAGACGGCCGCTCATCACAGTTTGACTTGGCCACTTTGCCGACCCTCTCGGAGGTGGAGCAGCAGCTTGTCAGCCTGCCGCCGCGCAAGGCTTCAGGCCCAGACGCCATTACCGCAGAAGCCCTTCGGGTTTGCCCTACGGTTGCGGCTCAACTCCTGTACCCGCTTTTCTTGAAGGTTTCGCTCTCCTTGCAGGAGCCGACACCATGGAGGGGCGGGCACTTGATGTGCCTCGCCAAGCGGGCTTCGGCATTGTTTGATTGCGAGGCCTTCAGATCGATTCTTTTGGCCAGCATTCCAGCCAAGCTTTTGCATCGTATCTGGCGCAGCCGCCTAGCACCACATCTCGAGGCAGTGCGAGGGGACCTGCAGGCAGGGCAGTTGCCCGGCATTGGCGTGGACAGCGTTGCGCTGGCCGTCAAGACTTACCAAGGTTGGGCAAAAGGGCAGCGTCTCAAGCTTGGGTTGTTGTTCTTTGACGTCAAGGCGGCTTTCTACAAGGTCATCAGGCAGGCGCTAGTCCCCACGGGTCCAGAGGATGATGCAAAAATAGTTGCCCTGCTCAGGGACTTGGGGGTGCCTGGCGACGCTCTCCCCGAGCTGGCCTCTAAGTTAGGCGCCGCCGCCCATATCGCCGAGGCCGGGGCTTCCCGGCATTTGCAGGGGCAGATCGCGGACCTTCTACAGGGAACTTGGTTCAGACTGCCCGGCCAGGGGACCCCCTGGCCGACATCCTCTTTGCGTTCAGCTTCGCAGCGTATCTTAAGGCGGCCGAGATGGCACTCCGCGCCCAGGGCCTTGAGACGCCCGTGCCCCGTGCAGAGGAGGCTACTCCCTGGATTCATTGGCCGCCCGTCGACAGTGTAGGCTGCGCTGCATGGGCTGACGACTATGCGCATGCCCAAGTGGCAACCACGACGGCAGTGTTGTGTCAACGTGTGGTCCAGGCGGCGGAGGTTCTGGCCTCATGCAGCTCACGTACGCTCCAGACAAGACTGCCCTGATGCTAGCCTCGGACTGTGATCCCCAGCCTGAGCACGGTCTGCAGCGCGATTCCGAAGGTAAGCCAGGCTTCGTCATCAACAATGCTGTGCTTCAGCAGAGCCACTTTTTGCCTCTGATAGCCTCCTACAAGCACCTGGGAGGTATCCTTACCTCCAACGGGACTCCCGGAGCAGACAACCAATTCCGATATGCCCAGGCCTATGGGACGTTGCGACCCCTGTACGGGCGCTTCTTTTCGACTGTTGGCATTCCGTTGGTGATTCGACGAACACTCCTTCGAGCCCTCGTTATCTCGAGATTTGTGTTCTCGGGAGCCTCCACCCTGCTTGTAGCGGCCATCTACAAGCGCCAATGGTGCAAGATGTATGTGTCGCTCTGGCGAGGACTTTGCCGATGGCCGCGACGAGACAAAGCACCGCACAGCTATTTCGTGCTTCGCCATGCGCAGGCCCCCAGTCCATTATTAGCCTTGGCTCAGATGAGAGCTGTGTTGCTCTGTCGGTTAGTCCGGCATGGCCCTGCCACCCTGCTTCACCTTCTGCACGTGCATTGGCGCAATGATGGAGCTAAGTCCTGGATTGGGATGTTTCTGGCAGACATCCAGGCGGTAGCGCAGTATGCTGAGCCAGCGGCGATCCTCCTTCAAATGGCAGATCCTGTAGCTACCCTTTTGGAGAAGGTCCAAGAGGACGCTAGATGGTGGCCCGCGCTCATTCGCCGGGCCATCAAAGCCTACCTCGCACGCCTCGAACACTGGGATCCCAGTATGAAGGCAGCAGAGGATGATGGGGAGCCCGCGGTCGAGCTTCCGTTCCGCTGCAGGTGGTGCGCGGCAACGTTTCGTCTTCGTAAGCATCTGGCAGTGCACGAGGCCAGGAGCCATGGACTCCTATGCCCCGCGCGTCACTACACTCCCACCTCCGAATGTCAGGCTTGTCTTCGAAGGTTTCATTCAGTCGAACGCTGCCTTTATCATGTCAAGACCTCACGGTCCTGTTTGCTCAGGCTTGTACACCTCTTCCCGCCCATGGACCTGCCGACCATCCGTCAGGCTGAGGCGGCCGACACCAAACGGCGTAAGGCCATGCGTGCTGGAAGATGGCAATCGTTTGAGACCGTTACCCCTGTCCGACAGGCTTTCGGTCCCCGAGCGCCCGTGTACTCGGATTTGTTCCTGGGTTTGGATGAGGATCAGGTGCCCCTTGCCCTGCTGCAGAGAGCCTACCGGCCCTCTCCTGATACTCTCGATTGGATTTGGGAGTACCTGTCCGCAGCGTCCAAGGAGGGGCCCCGCCAGGAAACTGCCGGCTTCTGGCTGCGACCCATCCCCACGAGACAATCCGTCTGAGCTTTCTTTTCCATGAGCCCGTTTCACCCTGTGCAGTTTTGGGACGCGCTCCCATATGAGCCCGGACGTCCGCACGCAAGATACGCAATACTATTCTGGAGGTTCCTTAGTATAACTATAGTAAAATATACCCCAACACCCTATTCTAA